CTGAGGATCCCCTTGATAGGATTCGTGCTGGCTGGGAGGGCGTACCTTTACATAGCTTTACTTAGCGACGTAGAAGACGATGTTTCCTAGACGAGCAACCTCATCCCGAACCTCTCTCTCCCCGCCGATAACCCCTCCAGAACCTCCGTCACACAACTAAAACACACACACGCACACCCCTCCCAATCCCCACGCAGGATAAGAACCCCGCGCCCTTGAACCAGTTGGACTTGCTCATGAACGAGACGTACGACAATCTCATGGATCTTGGATCCTCGTTGGAGGCAGCCCAGCTGGATCTCGCTGCTCGAGGTCGGCGACTGTCCGGGTGCGTGCAGCTGTTGCTGCTGCTGGTGCGGTGGCGGTTCGCTTTGAACGAGGCGGAGTTTGCGGTGCTGCGGGGCTGCATATCACCCGAGGTAAGGCGGGTGGTATTGTTTTTTACTTTAAAAAAGATAGTACCGTTCAGGTATTAGGTGTTTCTATTAAGGAAAGGATAAGGGGATTTGGGGGGGGAGGGGCGGCGTGTGGCTCCTTAGCCGGAGGGAAGGGACGGACCGCATCTCTTTTCGGGTAGGGTTTGGGGTGGGGGGAAATGCTACTGATGCTGTTGCTGCTGCTGTACTGCTGTTGGCAGTCTTTGTAGCTCTGCTGCTCTGCTTCTTGCCTCTCTGTCACTTGCACATCTCCCCTACTCCCCCTCCCCCTCCCCTACTCCCCCTCCCTCCCTCCCCTGCCCCAGGTCCTCGACGGCAGCGAGGTGGGGTGGGAGGAGACCACGGAGGCCGCCATGACGCATCTGCTAAGGACATGTCTGGCCAAGAGCGCAAAGGAACAAGCAGTTCAGGTATATGAATGCGTGCCGTACTGTACGACAAGGCCTCGTGTGCGGTATCGTGGGCTGCTGCTGACGGGTTGTGTGGGTTTGGGCTTCTACCCTCAACACGCGGGAGCCCCGACCAACCAACCTCTCCCCCTAACCAATGCATTCTGGCCTTCGGCCCACTCACCCTCATTTCCTACACCCCCATCCCCAGCCTCCACACACTCCCCGGCCTCCACACACTCTCTCTCTCTGACACGCTTTCCCCCCAAACACACCCCCCACACGCCTTCCCCGAGGTAACCCCTCTGGCCCCCGTCAAGGACACGCAGCGGCTCCGAAAACACATTTCTCTGGTTCTGGAGCGCATGGCGCGAGGTATGCGGCTGCTGGCTCCAGGGGAGTCGGTTGGCATCGGAACCCCCACTGTGGGCGGTCAACGGCCCCTGTACCGGGATTACTCATTGGCTGACGTACCGCATGCCGTACCCATGGGTCCGCCACCCGTACCCGGTCTGGCCGTGGTTTCGGAGGAGGAAAGCGGGGTGGGGTTGAATGGCAACAGAGAAGGAGGAGGAGACGAGGTTTCGCTCGGGTCGCCTGGGCCGGTGTTTAGCTCGCTTGGAGGAGGACGGGGTTACGACGGTGGCGGTGGTTTCGGGGCTATGAGTCCCGGAGGAGGAGGGGGAGGGTATGAGGGTGGGGAGGGAGGTGGAGGGGGTTATGTGGGGCCGTCATCGGCAAGTGTGGTTTCGGAGACTACGGAACCGGGGTATGATGTAATGTAGTGCAATTCCCATCACGAGGTGAGAGTGAAGAATGCACGGGTGCCCGCTGAGTTTCTGATTGGGTGGGGTGGGGTGGGGTAGGGTAGGGTGGTGTTCAGGAAGGAAGATGTGCATATGTGATGGCGTGTGTTTCGCGGTTGTGTGGTCCCCCTCCAGAGCCCTCCGTGCCTTGCGGTCTCTCGCGTTAATGCGCCGATCGGCCCAGATCGACGAACTCCGGTCTCTCCGGAGATCTCCGTATGATCGAGGTGCTGGTGGTGAGAGTCAAGGGGGAGGTCGGAGCTGGAGAGGGGCTTGGATGCATCTTGGGAGCAATCAAACTGGATAACTGTGGTCCGGGGTTGACAACGCAGTCAGCAGTCCGGTCGGGGTGTGAGGGGAGGCTGGTGTGGCGTGCACAGATGTTTAGCACCGCCCCGTAGTTGCCTTTAGTGAAGAAAGGAGCTCCGGCGAATGTTGAACTGTTACGAGTGTGGTGGTGGCGATGGTGGTGGTGATGGTGGCGGCGATGGGATGCCGGGACGGCGCGGAATTGAGGTGGAGGTGGAAGAGGTAAAAGTGGGCTGGCGCACGTGTGAAGCCAGGTTAGACTATCTGCCTGTGTGTGTGTGTGTGTGTGTGTGTGTGTGTATGTGTGTTCTGGTTATCGCTTGGAACATGATGGCTGCCGGGAGCTACAGACAGCTTTTCCCCGGGCTTGCTCCCTGGCGCGGAAAGACGACCGCTGCTTTCCTATCTGAGCGCTCCCGCTCCCTGAGGCCAGATTGCACAGCTTCGATGGTATCGCGGCGCGTTTTCGTTATGTATAGCACAGTGAACTAATCTGAGCCGGTAAGCTGCTGACACAGACGGGTACGGTATTCGGGTTGGTTCGGGCGGTAGAGTTTCCGTCCTCCTCCCGATAGACAGCTCCTTCCCAAGCACTGTTTGGGAGACGAGCCTTTCCGGTTAGCTCCGCCAGCTCCATGCTAGTCGCGGCTGGGGCGATACGCGCTGTATATATACTTGGCTGGTCGCTCTAAGGCGTATTTGGAATTACATGAGAAAGCCGGCCTGGGCTTCACTTGCTCGCGATTCTTGTTGGAATGGCGCGCCGACGCGCCGATTCAAGCTTTGTATGGAGAGTATATGCTTTTTGGTATGATGTGCAGGCGTAATCGGTTTGTGTTCCGTAGGGTTCCGTAGAGTTCCGTATCGCAGCTTTCGCCGCCAGCTTAAAATATTCCTTGTGCCTGCGTGGACATGAAATTGCTTTTTGCAGATAATTTATTGTACAGATTCGTTCAGCGGGGCCACGATGAAAAGTTGCTGACGACGACTCGGCTATCTCTTCCCGAAACATTGATTTTAAAAGGTCATGCCCTCTTGGGAAAAAGTAGACGGCTTTGAAGATATGCGGACTCAGTTTTCGGGGTCAATATAAAACCCAGGCCGAGGTGCTGTTGGTTGCTTGGCAAAGGCAGTATATACTTTCTTCCATTGTGCAGTCTACGGTTCTAATATATGTAGTGGAGTGGATAACTTTCTGCTGGAGCTGCGCTGGTGTAGGTATGAGACCATGAATTCCTAGCCTGCCCCGACACCACCTGTCGTACCGAAAAACCGCCTTGTCAGCGAAAGAAACACAGACAATCTTTTGCATAGTACAACAGCTGTGGTTCGCTTCACAGGTACTCCATGCCTATTTCACCAGAGCGCTCGCTGACGGTTGCTTGCATCCTTCTTAAGTTTTGCTCAAAAATCGTTGGGCCATGCAATTTGTAAAAAGGCTTTTCTCCAGTTCTTCAAGCGCCAACAACGCTACGACGCAAAATGGAAGTCCCGCCAAGCCTCTTGGAACTTGTATTGGCGACTCGACGTCTTGTCCAGAAGGAGGAAGAATGCATGCAAAAATTGAAGTGGGTTTCACTGTGCTGCTTGGAAGCCGGTAAGCTCTTTTCGCGACATGCATGACGAAAGCCACCTGCTTGCAGGGCCGTTACGTAACAGTGGTACGAGCCCAGGGTAAACTATTCTGCATCGATAGCATTTGCTTTCACGCGGGCGGTCCGCTGGTAAGCCTTCCAGCGACTATCCGTGCGTCGACTTGGATACCTGTGCTTTGCAACAATCATCTCCCCCAGCAAACTCCTGACACTCCATTCCCACACGCCTGTACTTCAGGGCATTGGCGACATAGAAGACGTCAACGGCCACAAATGCTTGGTGTGCCCTTGGCATTTCTACAGGGTACGACCGCACTCCGCGCTCATTACCCCTATGACTCATCTGAATCCCACCGGCATTGTTCCTTTTACAGTGGGACCCCACTCCCGCCTGTCGTAAAAGCCTGGTCCCGTCTACTACTCCGTCCGCTGTTATTCTCGTTACAGTGGAAAACAAGGGCTTAGTGCGCAGGACTGAAACCGCTGTCATTCTTTCCCCCTACCCCGTACCCCCTAACCCTCCCGCTTTCCCAAACGTCCACCTGCTTCGCTTCCGTTCCGAGATTTCGTGGCATATCCCGTCAGGTTTCGCCGGGGGTTCTTCTCCTCCCCCCTCCCCCTTCCGCCGGGGAAGGGGGAGGAGGAGCTCGATGTTTGCTTGTCCCTCCCTGCAGCAGTTTGCCGTTCTTGAGGTATCGGCAGTTGATTCAGTTGTCTGTTGTGTCCAGATCTAGATCATCAGTTGGTCTTCCTCCCTCCGTTCCTCCCCCCTTCCTTGGGGCGTGCGTGCTCATACCCACCACTCCACCCAACTCTACCCGCCGGCCGGGTTTCGCCCCCCCTCACCCCCCTGTCCCTCACCCCCCTGTCCCTCACCCCCCTGTCCCTCAACCCCCTGTCCCTCACCCGACCGACCTGGCTTCCCCCGGCGCAGATTGATGTGCAGACGGGTGACAAGTACTACCAGGCCATGGAGTTCAAGAACGGCAAGATGCTCGGAGGCGAGTGGAAGAGGTCCGTGTGGGTCTCCTCTCTCCTCTCCCCTGATGCCTCTGCCGCCTGTGCTGCTGCCCCTGCTTGCGTAGACACCGCTGTTTACGGATATCCCCTACCTAGCTATAGCCTCGCTCCATTCTTCTCCTCCTCCTCCTCCTCCACCTCCTCTTCCGGGGCCTTCCTAGGAGAGCTGGCGATGTTTAGGCGATATACAGGTGGAGCCTCCTTTGCGGCGTTCATTGACTTACTCTAACCTCCTCGGTGCCCGCGCTCTCTCCCCCCGTGCAATGCATATCTCTGTACGGCAGTAACGGGGTACGGCAACGAGTACACCCGGTGATTGAGGAGGATGGGAAAATGTGAGGCGGATGAGGGCGACCGGAGGGGGCGGGTCGTGGTTTGGGAGCTGGATGTTGGTTGTGCGAGATGTAGGGAAGGCAAAGGGATTGGAATGGACAGTGAGACAGTGATTTTGTGTTTTGATGTAATTTTCGCCATTTGCATCATGCGTACGTGTACATGATGGCGACAACAATTCCTGCATTGTATTGTTAAAAACATCAATGGAGGGAAATTCCGATTGAAAACCGCCGCTGAGGGGAGAACATAAAAAAAAGACACGCAGCAGGTTGGCGGGTTCTGGGTTTTTCTCCTCGTGTGTAGTGTGTGTTTTTCTCCCCTTCCTGTCTCCCACGCCACCCGCACCCCCCTGGAAAGAACCCAAAAAACCAAAACCCAGATCGTCCGCAAATCCCCACGACGGTCCCACTCCTTATCGACATACACACATACACACACACACCCTCACCGCAGATACGTGACGTTGTCCACACAGCCCGAGGCGGAGGTGGCCGCCGCGGCGGCGTGTCTGCCGGGTTGCGGCGGCCCCGCCGCCCCCTGCAGCCCCACCAGTCGAGTGGACTCCGACGCGTACGCCTTCGACCCCCAGTGCGGAGAGCGGGTGCTCAACTCGCCGCCGTCAGCTAACCGCGTGCGGGTTCACTCCGTCGGGGCGGATGGACGGAAGCCCGCAGGTGGTGGGGTATGAGGGTACGGGTGGGGTGGGGGTCTTGGGGGGTGTTGGGGGGAGCGTGGGGTGTGTGTGTGTGGGTGGGTGGGTTGGGTGTGTGTGTGGGTGGGGGCGGGGTTGAGGTGTTTTGGGGGATCGGGAGCAGTGGGTGCCCCAGGGCTGTCGTCGTTGAGACATAATCTTGAGCATGTGTCAGAAAGCGTATTTCTGTAAATAATATAAATATAATCGTAGTAATAGTGGTAATCAAGGTAATAATAAATAGTAATAACAATGTATACGTACGTGGGTAAGTTTTAAGTTAATGTATGGACTTGCGCTTTGTTGTGTTTTGCATTGGGGGGAAAAAGGGAGGAGGTTCGGGAGGCTGAGGCGAGGGGGAGAGGGAGGTGAGGGTGTCGCGGTATCCTGCGTGTGTGTATTGACACGGGTTGACGGCGTGTGTGTATGGGAGGAGCATGCATGTACGGAAAGGAACTGACACCCGGTACCTCTTACATCCCCCACCCCATCACGTTCCACCCCCGTACTTGTCGTACAGGTCAAGTGCTTCGAGGGCAGTACAGGAGTAACTCAAACTCATCATTGCCCGCAACACCGTCATCACCGACGTCACCGACATCGCCCACGTCACCGACGTCACCCACATCACCGTCTTCCTGACAGCTCGGGGGGCCTAGGGCCACCTCTTGGCTTTTCCGTCGTACACACTTATCTCTGTCTCGGACAGGCAGGGGCAGGGGTAGGGGCAGGGGTAGGGGCAGGGGTAGGGGCAGGGGTAGGGGCGGCAAACAGTGCGTTTTATCTGTGGTAGGACAGCGAAGTGGCGGCGTCGCCTCCTCTTCCTCGCTATCCGGCCCTCAGCCGCGCATATCCCTTATCTTCCGTACATAGAGTACGACAGAGGAGGGTCTTTCACGTCAAGTTACCTCCTTTCCTCTTCCGTACAGATCTTTACACTGAATGCTGTGGTGCCGTCTTTAGAAGAGTGTTGTGATCGGCTCGGAGTTCGGAGGGGACTCTGTTCTTGTTGATGGTGGTTGGTGGTTGCCGTTAGTTGGATTGCGTTTTAGTAGTTGCCGTCAGAGGCGTTGGCGGTTGGGTTATTGGTGGCAACAGCTGAAGGTGCGTGTTCGTGTGTCTCTGTGTGTGTTTAGATGGTTAAGGAGCGGTTGCCTGTTACTGTTACTTCCTTCGTCTTCCCCAACCCGATTTACTGTCGTACACACACACACACCCGCTACGCATGTACGAGCACCACCAAAGGGCGCAAGGTACAGCACCAACTGCCGAGCTGTCGCTCCGTACGCATATACATGTACGGCAGTATGCTGTTCAATCGGCCAACAGGGGGGTCAGCCCGGGGAGATGCAGGGAAAAGGCCATCGCCATACGCGCTCGCGCGCGTGTGTGTATGCATGCTTCTGTCCGTCTGTCCGTCTGTGTGTCTGTCTGTTCGCGCGTGCAAAAAGGGGAGGGGGTCGTAGGGGGGAGGGAAGCCGCCGACTCGGACTGGAAGTTACTGCTAAGGACACTGGGGGGGGTATGAGGCTGCCGTCCTGGTTTTAGGTTCCGGAGCGGGTTTTTGTTCTTCCCCGACCCCACCCCCGGGTCTGGGCGACCCCCGGAGGTTCGGGGGGAGAGCGGAGGGGAGTGGGGGGACGACAGGAGGGTTTGTTTCGTACAGCTGCGTGAACCGCTGAGTGGTGCTTGCTTTCCTTCGCTTTCCGCGTACCCCACAACGGGGGCCGTCCTTACACCTCCCCCCCATACACACACACCCACATGTGGTCAGGCCGCCCGCAACGATGACTCGGTGACTGACATACCGACGTCGGTGGAAACAGCGACAGTGACGATAAGGATGGCGATAATCACAGAGAAGAATTACAAGATGTGTGTTCCGATTTACATACCAGCTGCTGGTGCTGCTTCCGTACATTGCCGTACATCGCTGCTAGGTAGTGGTTGGCGATGCCGGTACCATTCGTGCAGTCGTTGTTACATCACACAGCGGAAATGTCGCCAATAATGTTCATCTGCGGGCAGAGGATCTGGTGCGATGGATGCCCTCTTACGCAGTTTTCCTCAAGGGCTTGGCGATTCGAGAAACTCCTGATTTCGTAGTATTCCCCCGCACGCACACTCATAATAGTCTGTGCGTAAATCTCGCCCTCGAAGATGAAGATGATCACCACCTTCCCCCCGAAGTCACCATCGAAGATGAAGATGGACACGGCAAGATCGCTCACGCGGCATGCATATTATTTACACACGCACATACATACATACAGACAGACAGGCGTAAGCATGCACAGGCTTATGCACGCCGCCATCCCGCCGTGGCAGAATAATATCAGAGAGGGGGCTTTTCCCTCCGGGTATTGATTAATGCACACATACATACATACAAATACACATACACGCGCATACACATACACACACCGTGTGCCTTCTTATGCGGCGTGACTAATGCTAACTTCAGCGGTTGGAATTCGTTGGGTCAGCGAGCTGTCGTGCGTCTATGTGGCTTATTTCATATGTACGGCATATGTACGGCTTCGTCCACTGTGTGTCCGCCGCGCGCGTGATGTGTGCGTGTGTAGCGTGTATGGTGTGCGTGCGTATTTATGTACTTACGTACTCTACCGCTTTGCCTTTGCGTGTGATATATTAGGTGTAGGGGAGCTCTGAGGGGCCTCGGGTGCGTGGTGTGTGTGGGCGTATGAACCTATGCACAGGCGCAGGTACGACGTACGGCAATGGTTTCAGCTAGGCTCCAATAGCGACATTGGGGGTGGGGGCTGCGTAGTGTTGTCGTGGGGGTTAGCATGTGGTGGGATGAGCCTTTATGTGTGTACGTGTGTGTATTCATGTGTTTATATATATGTGCATGTGTGTATGCGTACATCTTTCAGGAAGTGTGCTGAAGATGGGATGTTAAATAATCCCAGCATGCAAGGTCGTACTGGTTTTCTTAGGTCCCGTACGCCTTCCGTACAAGGTACAAGACTCATATATGCTTCACCCAAAAATTTTTAGGTTTCCAATAAAAAAACTTAACGCCGTTGCTCCGCTGCGAAGCGGCACGGGTGTGTGATGTGGGATTTTCTAAGTGCGTACTCCCCCTTCCGACGGTGCAGTGTCTCGTACGAGCGTCGTACGAATAAATTGAGGTCCCGTACAGTTGTACGGCGTTGACGTAAGACGTGGATCGCAACCCATCGGTTAAATAACCTATAACTGTGTAACAGCCTTGTGTGGAATGGGAAGTACAGAAAGTCCCCCTAAAGATTTATTAGTACAATTATTAGACGGCTATAATGCTCTCCGCAGCAGCTGCACAAAAATGAGCCCCCCATGTATACCTTCCCTAGTCACTTACATACATGGATAGCTGGTCTTGCCGTACAACGTCGCAGGTTTCGGTGCGATGCGCAATGCGGCTGATGTGCAAGGCACGAGTTCAAGGGCTGCCATCCAACGGCCGAGGGAACGGCTGATTCCCCAAAAGTTTTGAAACCCGTGCCCCTGCTCGCCACTGCCACCGAGGGTTCATTTCAAACCGCGGGTCGGCGGGGTCGGTACCTGGGCCTGAAGCTCTCCGTCGGGTGCCGTGTGATTGGCCACGACGCAGCTGGCTGTAGTGGGGTCATGGGTATCAAGTAAAAGATTTAAGCCCAGGCATGACTAAGATTTAGCCTGATCAGGACAACGTAGAGGGATGTCCCCAGCGGCCTCTGAAATAGTCTGCGGCAGCCGCTGCGGCGTATAGAGAGCTCTGACCGCCGCCGCGTTCACCGCCGCCCGGGAGCTCGGCGGAGTGCCCAAGGAGGCCACAAATCAATTGATCGCATTTGACGTCGCATTTCTTGGCCACAGGATGTTTGTGTATAAATGTTTTTTTCGTTAGTGTAAGGGAAGTGAAAAGCCAGCGAACCGTGTGAAACTGGGTTTTGCCGCAGAACGGGCAGGAGCAAAGCTTGGAGGTTGTCTGGCAACATGTTCGTCGCAAGCACGGCCGCGGCCTCGCCCGCCAGTCCGGGAGCGTCGCTATACCCGGCTCTACAATCGATACGGCCGAACACTCTTCTGCAAGCGCTATGCAAGCATATGTAAGGGAATATTCTATTATTTTTTCCATGCTTTTGGGCCTGCGATGGCTGGTCGTGGACTTTCTTCCAAAGCCGCGGGCCGGGATGCAGCTTTTGACCATTGCCGCACAGACGGCGGGTTGATGCGGACCGTACCTCAGGTAGAAACATGGCTCGCTTTCGTTATGTGTTTACTTATCCTTACGTGTTTTTTTCCGATTTAGTGTAGTTGTTTCCCTGCGACGGTTCACATGGTGACCGTTCGACCAGCCTTAATCATCCTTTTGGATTGCCTGTGCAGCTACGCTGCTGGAGTAGCTCCATAGTCGCTGAAAACTGCGACTTCGCTTAGGGATGCCGGGTCTTGTTCCGTTGTCATGCCTTATGGTTGGACCTGCTTGTGCAGGGCTGTATGCGCACATGGCATAGTTTAAGAGTACAAACATAAAGAACTTATATGGCGCAAGCGGCGGGAGTTGCGCCATTGATAAGCGGCGAACATGGTGCGACCTCGACGAATTCCTCAGTGGACGTGATCGCCATCCTGCGCAATCTCAAGCTTCGGCGCGAGTCTTGCACTTCTATAACTGCGGCTGGGCTGGCCAGCCCAAACTACGAAAAGCTCCTGCCCCGGTCGCGTTCAAACTTGCATGCGGAAGCCGGGAAAAGCTTTGCTTCAGGACTGCAGTCGTATGGGACAGGCACCATCACATTTGACCACGAGACCAACAATGGGGACACTAACAGGTCGGCTTCCAATGTTATAGTCAGCCATGGATCCCGCCCTTCCCATCAACGGAGCCTGCACTTCAGCCCAATCTCCCCGTCTTCGCCCGTGGCCACCTCTGCGGCTTCGGCTTTCTGTCCAACACCAGCTTCACCTCCCGTTCTGCTCAGCCACCACAATGCAAACCAAGAAATCGGTTCCAAAGTTGGAGCGGGATCAGCGCTTACGCCCGCGGATGCCACGGCAGAGGTTACAACGCTGCCCCCCGCCGCCTCGGCCCCAGCGTCTTCACAGCAAACTGCGGTCATTCTGCAATCCGCCCATCCGACGAAACCATCACCGCTAGTTTGCTTACCGCTTAAAACCGCCTCTTCTAGCGCGCTGCTACGGGATCATCATGCCACGGCGGGTGGCGTCAATCGAGCTCCGCTGTTCGCGTCGGCATCGCAACGCACCATCCCGGGCGCAACAGCGACAGAGGCAGGCGCAGCAGCAGGAGGGGCGAATGGCACAAGTAGCAGCAACAGCCCGGGCGGGGGTGGCGTCGCCGCCGCTCTCTTCAGCGCTGCACGGCAGCTCTCCGTCCAACGCGCAAATGGGGATATTGGGGCCTTGGCGACTGGCATCAATCTCGATGAAGGCGCTCATGGCAGCGGCGGCGGCCGGGGAATGGCGCCTGTGATGGAGCCCAGCGGCGGCGGCGGCAGCAGCGGCGGCGGCAGCAGCGGCAGCGGTGGTGGTGGCGGCGCCAGTGGCAGCCGTAGCGCATCGCCCCCGCCTATGCGGATCGGCGGTGTCGCTGCCACGGCGTTTGCCGCCGCCAGCGCAATCGTAGCGGCGACGTCCGCCGTCGCCGCCTCTGGCGGCCGCAGCGCCGCTGCCGTCGCCGCCGCTGCAGCCGAGGTGGCGAGGGACATCGCGGACTCCGTCGGCGGCCGGCAGTCCCCCTCAGCTCGGCTGCGCTCCCCAACAGCAACAAAGCCAGCAGCAGCAGCGGCAGCGGCGTCCGTACCAGCGGCGCTTGGGTCGGTGCTGACGACGGCAGTGAACTCTCCAAGTCGTACTGCATCATTGCACGGTGTTGCGGCGAATAACGGGAGTGGTGACGGCGGCGGCGGTGGCGGATCTCCCCCGTTGTACGACAACGGTTTATCCAGGCTTCACAAGTGCGTATAATATTCAGTATGCCGCCGCCGCCGCCGCCAGCTTAAGTCCCTGCTTTATTGCACAGTAGCGGACCCGGCTCCGGCCTAGTCGTCAAAATGCTTCCGGAACCGACCCGTACAACCCTCACAATGGACATGCGCCCTCTCCCTGTTCTGGGCCCCCCCCCACTCCTGCTTCAATCATCAATAGTTCGTCTTCCCCCCTCCCCATCGCCTTCCTTAGGTCCTCATTGGAATACCAAATCGCACGATTGAGAGGCGCCCTGGAGAGCCACGTCAGCGCCGCCGCGCCAACCGTCCCAACTGCCTCAACCGCCAACGGCCATTTTTCCAACGGCCATGCGAACGGTCACGTCCCGGCGGCTGCAGGAGCAGCCATGATGATGGAGTTTCAACGGTGGTCAGCGGCAAGCCCAGCGCCTAGCGCCGCCGGACCGTCGCACGATAGCGGCAACGCCGGCCGTCTATCGCCGCCGCCAACGCAGCAGAAGGCGGCTCGCCCGACGGCGCCGCCCGCTGATGCCGACGGCAAGAGCAGTGGCGGCGGAAGCGGTGGAAGCGCTTCGAGCTCGGGGCCGCTGTCTCCCACCTCTTATGTGGGCAGCGGCCGCGGCGGCGTCGGAAGCGGGGCAGCACCGCCGGCTGCTTCAGCTGTTCGCACCCCGCCAGGAGCTCCGTCCTCGAGTACTGGTACGACACTCGCCGCCGCCGCCGCTTCGCAGCGCGCCCAGCTCCTGGACGAGATACATCTGGCCCACAAGAGGGAGTTGGCGCTCGCTGAGCAACTGGGAAGGTGAGGATGAGAGCGTGTTTGTTTGTTTGTTTGCGTGTGTGTGTGGGGGGAGAGAGGGGCCCGCCGCCTGGATGGGGGGCAAATGGCCGATATGGGGGTAATATTAATATTATTATTAATAAAATACTAATGATCATCCGTAGAGGGATTGCGTGGTTGCGTATGTGACAGTATGCGTGGCATGGGGTACGGGTGTCCGCCAGGTGTGCCGGCGCCTGCACGCGGGAGGGCGGGAGGCATTGGCGGACGGGCGAAATACCGAGCTCTAGCTTGTGGGCTCTGTGTTGGGAGCTGCTGTAAACGGAAGAGGACCCCTAAGCCCCTGTAAACCTCCTCTTCACCGTGCTGCATGCGGCCCCGTCACCGCAATGTCCCTTCTTCCGCGGGGCGTCCCCCGGGGCTATATTCCGGGCACCAGGGCCAGGGCCGAGGTGTTGGAGCTCACCGCGCAGTTGGTTCGGCAGGTGGAGGCGGCGACGGCGGCCGCTGCGTTGGCGGATGCGGAGGCGGCGGCCGCTGCGGAGCTGCGGCACCAGCTGCGGAAGGAGCGGGTGGGTCGGGGGGATCGGGACGGGGGAGGGGGGTTGAGACTATGCAGTGTAGGGCTGGGATGGGGTGGCCTGGGTGGCTTGTGTTGTGGCGGGGCGATACGGGACGGCTAGAGGGCGGCAGCTTTTTTGAAGCAGTAGTGACATTGCTGATTGGAAGGCGGCTGTTTAAAGTTAGTGGTGTTATGGCCGGGCGGACGCAGGCTGAAGCCGGCGAGGAGGTCCGGCGCTGGAGGTCACGTGCCGCTGCGGCGGAGGAGCAGCTGCAGACCGCCCTCACGCAGCTGGCTTGCCTCCGCTCCGCTGCCGCGGCGACGGCAGCCGTCGGTACGACAACTGCTGGCGTCGCATGGGGGCCCTCACGGCATCACAGCGCCGGCGGCAGGAGCAGCAGTGGCGGCGACGGCGGCGGCGGCAATAGGGGAACGGCGTCAAAGGATGCTCCCTCGCCGATTCAGCCCATAACGGCGGCGGCGATTGCCGACGCAGGGCCGTCGCCGCCGCCGTCGCAGTCCCCCGTACACTCTCCCGGATCGCCGTCAAGTTCCCGGCGGCGCCGCTCGCTTAGAAGCTCTCCGTCGGAGCTGAGGGAATCTGCCGCGACGGCGGTGACGACGCCGACGCCGCTGCGGCGGAGCCTCAGCTACCAGTCACTGGGGGTAGAGCTGGGGCGCGAAGCCGCTGCCGCCGCAGCCGTGTCGAAGACCCCGCGTGCGGTCTCTACTGGGGGTGCGAAGGAAATGGGTGATGAGTACGCATCCGACAGCACGGACGCCACCGCCGTAGTGTCGGCGGCTGCTGTCACCGCCGGCGTCAGCGGCGACGGCGTCCCTCCGGGCTCTCCACAAATTATTGCATCGTCGGTGGCTACTGCCGCCGCAGCCGCCAGTTTCTCGACGGGGCCCCAGAGCGGCCATCGAACGGCGGCATCCGCCGCGGTTGCCGGTAAAGCCCAGACGGCGAGGCCTCCGCGGCCGCCAGCCACGGCCGCCGCGACACATTCGCCATCGCATTCTGTGGCCGTCCTTGCCGTGCCTGATGACGGCGGGGCCTCCACTGCAGCGTCCCTGACGAGCTCGTACGGCGCATCGTATGGCTCTCCACCTTCTCAAGGGTGTAGTCCACAGGGGTCTAGCGCTGCTCGCGACGGGGGCAGTAGCAGTGCTGGCGGCGCGGTACGGGAGCTCCGCGGCGACTCAGAATACGGCAACGCTGGCGTAGGCCCAAAGGCTGCGGCCGACGATGCGGCGACGTGCACGGGCAGCGGCAGCGACGACAGCGGTGATGGCGGCGGTGCCGCCGGCGTTGAACCCGCCGGCGGCTGGATGACCTGGGCCGCAGCTGCCACTGCCGCCGCCGCGGCCGCCGATGGCGGCGGTGGAAGCGCCGCTGCCACTGCCGAAGTTCCCGTCTCCTATTCCGTCCCGATCCCTAGCGGCCAGGAGCAATCTGTACAGCTCGACAGCCCTGCCGCGGCGCGTCCCTCTCGCCTTGAGCCGTCGGCGTCGGCATGCAGGGCCGTACCGGGTGTCCACGTCACCGGCGCCAGAGCCTCAGCGGCCGTGGTGGGGGGGGCGGCGGCTGCGGCGGCCAGGGGCTTGCCAGTGGGCATGGCTGCGTTGACGGCGGTGCCGGAAGGCGCCGATGGCACCGCCGTATTGCAGTCAGAGGTCGCGCCTGCCGTACCGCTTGCGGAGGCGGCGTCATTCCGAGGGTCTGTCGTCTCTAAGGGCGACGCGGCAGCGACGGCACTGCTGGTGTCGGAGGTGGAGCGCCTTAAGCAGGTACGCGGCGCGGTGCGCAGATTTGCGTTGTTCCTTTACGTGGGTGGAAGGAGTTGTAAGCTAATGATGCTTAACCCGGTGGGTGGGGTGATCGCGAGTTTCAGGGATGCTCTGTGCTCTGTGTTTTTCTACCGCGTGGGGTGGGGCGGGGTGGGGCGGGGCGGGGTGGGGTGGGGTGGGGCGGGGCGGGGTGGGGTGG